TAAATAAATCTTTCGGATTCATTCTTGCCATTTTTTGCGGTTTTGTCTCTGCTTAATAATTGCACTTAATGGTAAAGTTTCAGCTGTAAAAAAAGTCATCTGTTATTTATTTTCGGACAACTTGCCGCAAACATACAGAAGAACAGTGAAGTAATAAGATACGGCTCTGTTGACGCTATATTACAGCGTCACGTGATTTTTGCGCAAAATAATTCTATTGGTTAAATGCACTCTTCGCAAGCGCACTCATTTGGACGCAAGCGCGTTCGTCAGCTACGTTTCGAGCGTACTCGTGTGGACGGGCTTTTAGCTGTCTGAACTGAGCAAAGTGAAAAACAAAGAATTTGTGAGATTAGTATCAAGATCTGTTATTCAAAAGTCAAAACTAGGCTTTTGCTTTGGTTTTCACATCAATGTAGAAGTGTTTTTTTTTAAGGGGGGGGACATGTGCAGTTTATTTCACTCAAATGTTGTACACATGCAGAACATCCCAGTACCTTACTTATGCATATATATATACAGTCAAAAGTCGTTAATCTGGACCTCAAAGCTACAAACTTTCTGCACATGCGTCAACACATAATGCGTTCACTACTGTTTTGTTTGTCTATCTGATTTTAACCAGAAGCTGTGTTAGGATACTATCAGTACAGATTTCACTCACTAATTGTAATTGTTTCACTCACTTATTGCTTTATCAGCCATATTTAGTTTACCATATCGTGTCTGATAATATATATATTTTTTAATAGCAGGGTCCCGTAACATTTAAAATAACTGGCTGCTTTCTATTTTGTAAAAGTCAGCTCTTAACTCTTTTTTTTTTTTTTTTTTTTTCTTTCAAAATGGATGAAAGAAATACAGCTATAATTAATTAATTCATACCTTTGTTCATAAAAACAAAAGGTAGTTTATTCAGAATCAAACAGGATTACATCAAACAAAAAAGTAGATGTTATGAGCGTGTTGTTATATAATGCTTCTCTATAACTGATGCTAAATTTTGCCGCTTGGCAACAATCTCAAGGTCAGGATAGTACATAAGTACTTGGTACTTTTCTGTTAACCATTACCACCACTTAAGCACTTAAGCATTAAACACAACTATTAATGTGAAATCTAAATAGGTGGCAGAAACTCTAATGATATATGAAATGATGTATAAAGCTTTCATGAGAAGAATCACTATTTTAATAAGTACTCATGTATTAACCCAACACCTTGGTGCACTGTATTGATTTTTTTACATAAGAAACAGGTGATTTGGTGAATGTTTGGATTGCAATTTAACAATGAGTATGGGTACCTAAAGAACTGTTGTGCACATGATTGCCAGAGTTTTCTGACTTCTGAAAATTTGGCAACTTGTACTAAGGTGATTGTGATAATATGCAAGTTCCTTTAATGTTTGCAATGTAAAATGTTTGCTTGCTTTTTTTTTTTTTTTTTTTTTTTTTTTTTTTTTTTGTTTTTTTTTTTTTTTTTTTTTTTTTTTTTTTTTCTTTTTTTTTTTTTTTTTTTTTTTTTTTTTTTTTTTTTTTTTTTTTGGTGTGTGTGTGTGTGTGTGTGTGTGTGTGTCACTGTGTACACGGAAAGGACAAAGTTATTGCTCTCTCCATGTGCAAAATGATAAGTTTTTGCTTAAGAAGACAGAGAATTGCAGATTGGGAATTCTGCATGTTAAATATTGTATGTATTATAATTGCACAACTGTTTATGAGGTTATTACATTTCGCAACTGACATTTCATTAACAGAAAAGTACCCAGATAGTTTAAAAGCTTTAAGGAAAACATCCAGTTCTGCAATCTATCAACCCTAAAAGTTAAAAGTTGGTAGAAATTCTACCAAATATGTACCAGTCATCTTGACAGACGTTTAAAGGAACTGATTGCTTTTTATTTAGTTAGGTAATCAAGAGATCAAGCATATAAAATGCTATATAGCAAATTAAAAGACTTATATCGCTTATCTTAATTTTTTACATAATATCACCGTCATTTGTTTCTAAATAAAGCCATGTATCATGCTCATTGAAGCATTCTTTTCTTAATGGAAGGATCTTGTAATTTTGTAAATACTCTGCTGCATGCTTTTTCATTTATGTCAGTTTCCAAATTCCCTCTCCCCCACCCAAAAAAAAAAAAAATACGAGGGTAAAACAGGTAAATAACATTTAACTTATCTTTGTTTAAAATGCTAAATAAGCGTATTTAAAGTTAACATAAAACCTAAGTAAAGGTCTTAAAATTTTATTTTGACATTATGCTCAATCATTATGGGCACTCGTCACCCTGTTTGGCAACAGATTTTGTTTGTTCAGAGTAGGCCTATATGGGCTTTATGATAGCTTTAGATGTCTCTCATATGCTGAATATTTCATTAAAAAAAGAAAAGGAAAGGCAAAAAAGTAAAATATTCATATCCATAAATTTTTAAGGCTTAAAATGTAATACAAGTTGATGAGAATTCTGTTTCCTTGCGAAAAAAATTTACCAAAGTTAATGTTCAAGACAGCCTTTAATATTTTTAACTAATCCTGAAGTTGCTATGAAGTAATCAAAAGTATAAAATTATGCTCTGATCAGAACATCTAAAGTCAATAATATTAATGAATTTTGTTAAAATTGACTGCAGACTGCAGTAAAATCCCTTCAAGGGCTGAAGATTTTTCATTTCTGCTGTAATCAGTCAGTTACTTACTTTCCTCAATGAAATTTCCACCAAGCTTTTCACATACCTGAGATCCTTAGTAATAATTCAGTATTGTGCTTCATTTATCTGCTTGAACTAGTTAACTTTTTTCTTTTCTGTGTGTGTCTGCACATGTGCATCCAAGTAGCATTAAATCTTGCAATGTTTGAATTTTGCATTTGACAATTTCTGTCTTCCTTTTTAATTTGATGCAAAACTAATGATTTCTTTTAAAAATAAATATAACCAGATGATAATAAATTATATCATAATAAATATAACCATTGAAATGGCACTTATAATTGCAATCCTCAATCCATATAACTTTTTCAAAATATTTCATTATATTATATCTGTATTACTGCTATGTGTGAAATGAGCCATATATTTCTTCTTGTAATGTTGAAGGCACCAAAAAGTTCTTTCCTTCTGTTCACCATAGACTGCATTCCGAGTCTTTCCTCTCTATTCTCAGTTATCTGGTCACGATAAATTGCAAGTTACCTATTCCATTTCAATGTAAGATCAAATAATTTATGTGAGTGTTCAAAAAAGGTACCTCCATGTGGAACATTTAAATGTTTTCCTGCCCTACCTTTGATGGCCTTAGATTATGCTTGCAGAATGATTTTGAAAACTTTGGCATGACTTGGCCAGTGAACTTATATATTTTTGTGAAGTCTAGACTGCTGTTCTGCATTTTTGTTCATTTTATTTACGCATGTAATACAGTCAAAAGTCTTTAATCCGGGCTCGTCGGGACTTCGGTGATTCTGGATTATCGGTTTTTCCGGATTATGGATCGTCAGTTTAAATCTGTAAGATGGCATGCAGAAATTATAAAATTAAAAATATGAAACCTTAATTTATGAAATAAAGAGCAATTATGATCTAAAGGATATCAAAATTTATAAAAAAAAAGCTTAATATTTATTTATTTTATTAAACATTTCTTTGAACGTGTGCATGCGTAAAGTATACATTACGCATAGTCGAAATTAGAAAATTGCAGCCAGAAAATTATTTGATGTGTATTCATGATATTTATAATGACGAGGAATTTGATTTAAATCAAAGACAGAGTACATGATGAAATACTACAGAAAAATACTACATTTAGTAAGGAATTATAAGACAAATAAAATAAAAATATCTGCCCTGAAGATAAGGATAGTGCTGACAGATCAACTTCCAGTTCATTGCGCGTCGCAACGTCCCCCCCCCCTGGCAGAGCAGCGTGAAATTGATAAACAGCTTTTGGAATGCTTAGAGAAACAAAGGATATGCCTTTATCCATTTTTTTTGCAGCAATTCCATTTTTTGTTTGATGGACATCGAAACATGCTCTCACTTTGTAGGTCCTTTGGCAGCTCCAGAATCGGAAATTCTTTTTGACATAATCGAAAGTTCAAGGGCTTGTTCATATTAGGTTTTAAATAGTTTCATGCAAGTTTATCAAGACTTTTTAAGCTGTTTACAAGATCTTTCCAAGCTGCTTGAGCAATGCTTCAATTTCCAGTGCCTGAAACTGGCTTCAAATGAAGTAGGAGATCTTTGTATGATGGTATACAAAAAACATTTGATCGAATATACAGGGTAGTCATAAGTAAATTTCCCTGATAAATAAACCCTAAAAATATAAATATCCTATCCACTGAACCAATCGAAAGGAAATTTCACATATTGTTAATTGTTATTCGAAGGTATGTGCTCAAGATTGTGATGAGAACTGTTAGTTATAGTTACAGTGGAAAAATTCCAAAATTTTTGAATGGCAACATTCACTTTTTTCCTGCAAAAACTGATCAGCACATAGAAAAAACCGTAAATGACATTGAAACGATACACACATGAGGAAAATTGCCAGCATAAAACATTTACAAAGAAGGGTATTGTGAAAAAACAAAAATGAGAATTTCACTACAGATTCTTCCATTGCTGGTAAATTCGAGAAACCGGTAATTTAAAATTGAGTTCAGGGAAGAAACGTATCGCAATTTATTTCTAAAAATCATTGTAACTTGGAATACATAAAAAAGAATGCATATGAAAAGGGGGATATTTCTTGAATGAAGGATTGTTATGAGCATGACTTCCTGAAGAATGAGTATGCTCATGATTGCCAGTTTTGCACATTCTGAAAATTTGGTGACTTCACTTAAAGTGGTTTTGATAAAATATAAGTACCAAGAAATTTTTCAGCAGACGATTTTGCATTCAGAGTATAAATATGTCAAGAAAAATAATTAGAAAAGCATATCTAGCTAGAATTTGAATTATTTTTTTCATTTTTGTATGTCTTTGTAGGTCTGTAATTGATTTTGATGAAATGGCTGCAGGTTTGAATAAACGACGTATGATCCAATCTGCAGTCTTTAAAGAATTAGTAAAGGTAAAATTTTATAGTTTTAACTAGAATATGATATAGTTACCATATTTGCTGGTGTATAAGATGCACCCCTTTTTTATACACATTTTTGAAGGATGAAACTCTATGACTGATCATTATGATCATTATAATGAATTTATAGTATTTTAAATATAAATTAATACAAATACAAAGTAATACTTTCTGCAAATACCTGATCTATCTGGGAAAGAACATGTTTTAATCTTTGTCAAAATCCAGACACTCATCTCCAGAACGAAATAAAGAGTCACTTGAAACCTCTTCTAAATCAGCATCTGAGTTCCTCAGACAACAAATTGTCCTCTGTACTATCCAGTGCATAACTAATGCCACACTTCTTAAATGATTTAACCACTATCTTTGTTTTCACAGCATCGCATGAACCCATTCACAAATTTGCAAAATGCTAACTCCGAATAAACTCGTAGTGACGTATAAGACACATCCCGTTTTTCAGACCTATTTTCAAAGAAAAAGGTGCATCTTATATGCCGGCAAATATGGTATATCCAACTTTTTTTCTGCAATTTTGGGTACTTTTCCTTTAGATGGCTGCAAATCTGGATATTGTTTCTCATGTTTTGGTGGTCCTTTTTATTCTTTAAATCAGGGGTTCCCAACCTTTTTGTCCCTAAAAGCACATTTTAGACTACCTGTTGGACGGAAGACACCACTTACGTTTTCAAGGTGAATTTCTAGTTGGATGGAGTTAAAAATATATGGACATTAAAAAAAAGAGAGAGAGATCGGTTGCATTTTGCTTTGTACTGGTATCTGCAATTTCTATTTCATTAAAAGAGTAAACTGTCACATAGAAATTTATTGAAAACGAAAACATTTTTATTGTGATCGCATAGCATCGGGCACACATTAAATGATTGACAGGTGCCATGATGCCCACTGGCATAGGGTTGGGAACCCCTGGTCTGAATTCTCTTTTTGAGTCTCATGTTTTTTTTATCTCGCTATGCAGCTCTTTGAATTATCATCCCCTGAAAAAGATTTGTAGAATGTTTCCAGCAGTGTGGAGTTCTCCGTAGTAATTGAAAATTTTCAAATCTTTATGATATGAATCTATATATCACTGATAAAAGGGTTAGGTGGCCATGTAATGGCTGCTGAGAAGATGTCAGTGTTAGAAAATGTAACTGGTTTGACATATCTCACCATGGCTTGAAACATCTGTCATCACCAAAACATAATGAGATATGATTTCCAAATTTGTAGGCAGATAAAGGAAATGTACCCACTTTTATAATTCGTCTCTTTTTTCCTGCCTTTTCTGTATGTGTAAAATCATGTGTTTAATATTCTGTAATTTTTTTAAAAGTGCCTTTTAATTTCTTTCCTCCCAGCATATCATAATTGAGGTAACTCTGAAATTTTTTAGACAGGAGCTCACAGTATGCTCTAAAAAACAATTAGATATGTAAATTTGAATGTTATGTTCTGTAGATGATAACTTGTGGGAATAATTGTAATTTATCTGTCATAGAATAACTTTTTAAAGAAAGGGAAATAAAGCTGATGCATTATGATTATCGCACTATGGTCTTCTGTGATTTTAAAATAATGCTTTTTGACGTCTTCAGTTAGCACATGGAAATAAAGCTCCATCTTGTGCAACTGTATTCAAATGGTTTACAGAATTTCATAAGGGCTGAAATTCTCTCCTGAATGAGGTATATACAGCAAGTCCTTTGTCAGCTAATATATGTTATATTAGGTAATATATTTTTAGCAAATGTTAATCAGTGCTAATCTCTGTATCTACCTAATGGTACAGGTACAAGTGGGCAAGATACCAGAAGTGAGCCATTGGTATACAGGTATAGTCCTGCCATACTAACTGTGCAGTTCTGTCCCAGTTTTGAGGGATAATACCTTGGGGGGTCTGTTTTGAGGCTCTCCCACAGCTCTTTCCCTACCACCAACCTCTCAAGAGGATTTTAGGCTTACTGTGTATTTTAAGTTCCCCTTGCTACACAGACAGTATACACTTATGCCTTTTCCAGAATTCGAACCCAAGTCCATCTGTCTGCACAGATGCACTTGGGTTACTGTCAGTCTGCCAGTAACCACTATACTGACTGGGCATATCACTGGAGAATTAACTGCATATGAAAAATAGTTTGTCATTGGATGCCCCTTAAATTAGCAGAATACCAAAAAATGAGGTGTATCATAACCAATAAAGAAACCCTAAAATTACTAAATGAATAATACATTATTTCTAAAATCATAGCTGCTGATGAAATATATGCATAATTTTTTTTTTTTTTTTTTTTTTTTTTTTTTTTTTTTTTTTTTTTTTTTTTTTTTAGTTTGTTTTAACAAAGAAAAGTATGTGACTCTGTAGGTGAACCCTAACCAGCAATGATGAAAAGGCAACAAGCAATGTGTGCTGTTTCTTCATATAGTTATTTTTTAATCTAAAACAAAATTTACGTCTCATTCCAAAGATGAGATTGATGAAGCTATAAGAGCATATTCTTCATTAGTTCCGAGAAATGGATAGTTTGAAGCATTTAATCTTTGGAAAATTTGCATAGAAAATTGCATTGATGTTAGAGATAAACTAACCTAGTTTTTCCTACAAATATTCAACATGTGCATCTTTAATTATATAGTACACATCCAACCTATAGTCTAATTCTTCTCATACTTTGGTTAAGAAGTCCAGAATAATGGAAGTAATACCCTCTTCCATTCTGTGTGTCAGCTTTGGCAAATCACTAGGTAGTGGCGGAATGCAGACTCAGTCTTGTATAAATCCCCAAAGAAAAAAATTACATGGTATTAGGTCAGGTGAGTTTGGAGGCCAGCGAGAAAAAGCTCCTTTGTCTCGACCATTATGACCAATCCAATGGTCAGGGATGTTCAACTACTCTCAGGCAAAGAAATTCCAATGAGGAAGAGCTGCATATGTCTACCGGTTCATCTTCTGCTAATTGAGAGAAAAGCCATTCTTGTAACATATCTAGATAAGCCCCCCTGTTATGGTAGCTTCAGTGAAACAAAATGGTATGTACACTTGACATCGGGACATAGCATAGAAAACTAATTTGGAGGAATCTCTTTGGTGTTCTACGAGCTCATAAGGATATTCTGAGCCCCAGATATGAACATATGGATATTTATTTTCTTCTTCAGATGAAAAGTTGGCTCAACACTGAGCACCACACTCCCAAGAAATTTATCTTCCCACTGAAACACTTTACTTGCAATGTTAACTGCTTCCCTTACAAATTTTTTTTGAACAAAATTGCAAAAAATCATCACATTTTTTTTTATTTTATTATTAAATACAAGGAAACGAAACAAAACAAAATATATAGGTTTTAAGTTGAATTTTTAATTTTTTACAGGTGTAAAAGCATTTAGTTTTAATATTAGTTTATTATCCTGAGTTAACTCTGGCAAATAAAAAAATAAATATTAGTCTTTGTATGATAGTTTTTGAAACAAGGGGCAACACAAAGTGATACCTGACATTCTATATGCTAATATCTGGTCCTTTTTTTCTTATTGGCTTACGTCTGGAATCTATTTTACGGGAGCACAGAGGCACTGTTTTATTGGATCCCCCCCCCCCGTAGCAGGAATAACATCTGGAAAATGCCTTGAGGTTATAATCACTATCTGAAAAATCATTGCTTTCGCTATCTCACATCATCGCCATTATTTTACTTTTTTCAACGCAACTATCATTCTTTATACATTACTAATCCACAAGCCGACAGGGAAAACACGTGACCAGTCATGCCAAAAGAACTGCAAAACGAACAAAACTTGGCAAACTGCCGATAAAAGCCAAATATTTCTTTTCATTTCCTTCAGGCCAAGTAAAACCGTGATAAAACAAATTGTACTGACAAATTCTGCTTCATCCAAGTTTTCTCAGGATAATACTTAACTGCAATATATACGAACCCGGGATAACTCAGGATAATCAGGCTAGCATTACATACATAGACATACATAGTCCTCTGGCATTAAAGCAGCCTGTGTTTATGCATGCATAAACTTTTCTTGAACGCCTTTCAAGCTATTGTCTTTGGCAACTGAAATCTTTGTATGGTTTTTGATCTCAAATAGACCAGAAGAAGATACATATTTTCAAAACGCATTAATCGACTTTTATGAAGCTTTAATTGATTTTCTCTTGACGAGTTCTGAATTGGAGTTTCAATAAAAGGAGATTAATTTTTATTTGTATAATTTTGTATATTTTCCCTTTCACATTTTTATTTTTCGAGATTGTTATACTATGAATACTCAGTTTAATTGGATTAGTTATGATATTGTGTTACATGGTTGCAATGATTATATTATAGAGAAATTGCCTTGTTTTTATTCCAATTTACTAATTAATTTAGATGCTTTAATTCTACTTCAATCCTGCAGCTATAATGCAGGACGGGTTTTTTTAAAAAAATTATTCGAATTTTTAACCTATTTATATATTTCTTTTTATATATATAAATATATTTATTTAATTAAGCATTCAAAGAAATATTTTAGGGTTATAAATAGGATACATAATCCAAGCCTATATTGGTATATTTTAGCCATAATATTAATTTGGAAATTATTATATAAAAAGTTTCTTATGCTTATACATTCACTTTAAATACTAGCTTGTGGATCCTGGTGTAAAAGCCTGGCAACCAACTAAAGGAAAACCCAATATTATCATGTTTGTAGGTCTTCAAGGAAGTGGTAAAACAACTACTTGTACTAAAGTAAGTGATAAGTTATTTACTCATTTATGTGACAAAATTCTATTATATTTACTGATATATATATACATTTACCTGTTATTAAGATTGTTAATTTGCAAGCCAATGTGCATTAAGATTTCTTGTAACTGCTAGAGAATATATATGTTGTGATTAAGCTCAAGTTCATAAATACTTTCTTAGAGCATTTTTATCATTTCTGTGATTTATCATATAAAATTGGACATCATTTTAAATGCAAGAAATGCTCACCAGATTTAATAATTAAAAAAGAAGATTTTAATGAATAGATAGAGCTTTATTAATTATTAAATCAAATGTATATTATTTTGATAAATATGCAGATCCTGCCCTGTAACCAGCATAGAAATTTCTGTAAGTAATCTAATATCTGTAACCAGATGAATGAGGTTATATAAATTTCCACATGTGCCCCCTCTACTCATGACCTCCTTCGTAGTATAAGAGGACTGTCTCCATAGATGTCCAGAAGCATCTGGTAGGGTGAATACTCAGAAAAGGTTGTTGTTCAAAATTGACCTACATTCTTCTTACCTCATATTTTAATATCAACAGCTTGTGATTATTTATATGCAGTAAACTTAGCATATTAATTATTTTCTGGCTTCCATATTTTTGATGCGAATATTGGTGTAGTATGTAATCTACTGCGTTTAGTTAGCTATCTATTTCATAAATGGTAAACCATGGCAAATGAATAGCAGGACCGTGGGTATTTATTTAGCTCAGCATGTCAAACTGATAGATAAACTCAAAACATATTATTTCATTGTTGATTGAAGCCGCACTGTTACTACCCATAATCCAGCACATTGTTACCTGGCTCAGTTATCATGAATGATGAGCTGCCTGAATAAGAGGTTGGGCCGATCATATGATCGGCCCAACCTCCGGAGAACTAGAGTTCGATCCACTTCAGAACTGATTCACTTTACTGAGGGAATTTACTCCTATTCCAGGAAATAGTTATAGTTGTTTTACAGTTCATAGAGAGCTCTCTTTGGAAACATGCCAAGAACACAGACCTGATGTTCATTCACGAACTAATTCATGTTGCTAAAGAAGTTAGCCCTAATCGTAAAAAATAACAATGAAACTGTTGTTGGAAGCATGCCAGGGAAGTTCAGTTCCATTTTAAAAAAGAAAAGAATATTTACCCTCCCAAATTTAAAGTGAGTTTTATTTTTATAATTTCCCAACTTTTTGGAAAAAAATTATTGCAAAATTTTATTGCTAGTTCTCTGTAGAAAGGATGTTTTAGAGAATTTCAAATTTACGTTTGAAAGAAATCAGTTCTGGGAGTTAGCATTTGATTCAGTTGTTCTTATCCCACTCCTCATTCGGTTCTTTTCGCTCTTAATTCCAACGTCGCTAACAAGTCATGATCTGGATGCTCATTTGAGTCATTCTCATCTTCAATCCATCCTGTTAAATTGCTTCTGATTAACCCATCCTTGTGAATTTTTTTAATCAATTTTATTGTTAATGAGCAGCAAGTCATAAAAAAGGACCATTCATTTCATTTAGTGAACCGTTCTGATCCGATCCCATATAAGAAAGGTTTCGCCCATCTTTACATAGAACTGTAAACCATCAAAAGAACGTTTTCAAGCCTGTATACAGTAACAATTGAATACTTTTAACAACTGAATTGTACTGGGTGATTTTGAAGCTAAAGGTTCTACACAGTATATGAACTAATATAAAGGTTCTAAACATCAATTACTATCTTACAGAAGCTTGATGAAGATCTGTTAATTAAATAATATTAGCTTTCATAATCAAAAGTGCAAGGAAAAGGAACGATTAAAGCAGCAACTAATTTTAGTAGTGTTATATAAACAAATAAAAAACTAATATATGAAGTAGTACACATATTACATCAATACCACCCCTCCCTGAGAGCCCACATCTTCATCTGGGTGTGGTCCAGTTCCCTTTACTTTTTAAAGGACATTTAGATGAAAATGTCGTACTTACATTACAGTCTACTCTGATGAATCATAAATAAATATGAGGATAAAGTACAGTACAAAGTCCATAATCAGGACATCCATTATCCAGAATAATCTATAATCCGGACCTCAAAGCCACAAACTTGCGCATGCACGTTTAATGCGTGCATCCACTATGCATGTGTGTAAAGCGTTTACTTATGCACGCTTCTGATAGTGAAGAAAGTGACAGAGAGGTTACTGAAAACGAAAAAATTTTGATTGACAAGTTAGTCGGTATTCTCGACTCAGCAATTACAGGACTTGAACAGCGGAATTTTGTAACTGAACAAGAAATTATGTCTGTTTATAGAATTAAAGAGAAAGTATTAGCCCAAAAAATGAAGCAACTTAAACAACTTACATTGAAAGAAATGTTTAATAAGTAAATAAATATTAAGTTTTTTTTTTTTTTTTTTTTTTTTTTTTTTTTTTTTTGTGTGTGTGTGTGTGTGTGTGTGTGTAAATTTTGATACCCTTTAGATCATAATTGCTCTTTATTTCATAAATTACAGTTTCATATTTTTAATTGTATAATTTCTGCATGCCATCTTACCAGATTTAAATTGATGATCTATAATCCGGAATCGCCAAAGTTCCCGACGAGTCCGGATTACGGACTTTGTACTGTACCATATATTTATGAAGGGAAAAAAGATGTTGCTATCTAGTTTTGAAGTAGAAAACCAAGAAATTATTGATTATGACCGAAAACAGTGTCAAGGCAGTCACATTCCAATTTGCAAAGAAGTTCATGCTCACAAGTTGTAGTTTATTAAGCATGGAGGTTAAATTCTTTGTAATTTTGAAAACACAGGAGATCACAAAATGGACTAGAAACTAATTAAAAAAATTTTTTATGAAAACAGTTTTTGCAGATGAAATTACTGTTTTGAATGAGGAAAAATGCCATTTTTTACAAGCAGCAAAAGTGATGGATTTCATACTAGGGTGCCCGAAAAATACCAAATAACATTAAATTTCTACCAAGAGAAAATCTGAATCGAAATTCCTTTTACTGCATGCTTTGTGCAAAGTAGACATTTTCCATTCTTTTAAAGTGAAAATGAAAAACAGTACATGCCATTATTCAAGTTGTCAAATATTTGCTTAAATCTGCCACATTTATTGAAAGAAAGCATAGAGATGAAGATACATTTCCTCAGTTCTGATGTTTTCAACCTTTATTTCACCATTTCCCCTTTCTCATTTTATGACGGAGGTCATCCCCCTGAATTTTCTCCTGTATTCCAAATAATATGTAAAAAAAAATTTTAATGAGAAACGAAATCTCCAAAAATAGTTCTGAGACAATTCCGATGTGAATTTAATAAATCTCCACTATAAGAACAATCAGTCAGAGGTTAAAAGAACTTCGAGAGATTGGACATGTTTTGCACAAGGGAGGTGCAGTGCAGCTACACTATGCATCAGTGATGAAAATGTTTTGGCAATTTAAGATTCGTTTGTGAGCAATCCTAGTTATTCCATTTGCCCTGCCATCCTGCAAACAGGAATTCTTTGGCCAGTTGTTGATGAAGATATTGAATAAGAAGACTGCATATAAATTGTAGATTTGTAAACAGATCAACATAATAATTGAGTCGTTCGGGAAGACTTTTCTACAGACATTCTTTAATGTATCAATAATGATGATCAGTTTCTTCAGAAAATCATTTTCAGTAATGAAGCAAACTTTCATACTTTAAGAGAGCTTAATCAACATGACTGCAGGATTTAGGGGTTAGGAAACCCTCTGTGTGTAAGGGGAAAATTTTTAGCACTGTCTAGAGATTCATTATAGTTCTAGACAGTACTAAAAAAATTTTGCAATACTAGCATTAAAGTTTACAATTTTTTATTTTTCTTTTCGTTTCTTTTCCTAGGAGATAATAAAGCACTATTCTATTAAATAATTTATATTATATATATATATATATAAATGTCATATTACTGTAAATGTATCATCTAATTAATATTTTTAATTAAATATGCATTTTGTGTTAAGCATATAGTCTCTCTAATCTGAACATTTTAATATCCATAATCATTCTTTTTTATACCCTTTTTGTATTACTTTAATATTTTGTCTTCGTTTATTTTATGATTATGCAACATATTTCTATATTACAAATTTCACATTTCTTGCTTTCCATTGTCTTACTTTGTTTCTTAACATGTTTGTGGCTTTTTTAGCTAGCATATCATTATTTAAAGAAAGGCTGGAAAACATGCCTGGTTTGTGCTGACACATTTAGAGCAGGGGCCTTCGATCAACTCAAACAAAATGCCACTAAGGCTAGAATACCTTTCTATGGGAGGTGAGTATTATTTGAACAAGCAGTTTAGCTTGCTTCTGGTGCTTCTGGGTTATTTATACAGTTAGCTTGCTTCTGGGTGTAACTGAATGCTCTTTTTCGATGATAATATATGAAAATTAATATATGATTGATTGCCTCATTGCAGTGGTGTGTTAGAAAGCCTTGATGGATCTACCCTCTGATATAATGAACATTTAATATACATAATCATTTTCTTTTTAATTAGTACTTATTGCGTTATTTTACTGAATTATGTAGGCTATTCAGAAAGTAAGGAAAATTTTGAAATTAAAAAGAAACTAAGTGCAAGAAAAAAAAATTATTATATACATCAGAAAGAGCGACTAAAATTCTACTTTTCTACATAGTCACCAAACAAATTAAGGCATTTATCATAGCGGTGAACAAGCTTTGAAATTCCTTTGTCATAGAATTCTGACGCCTGCAATCTCAGCTACACAGTGACATGCATCCGCAGCTCCTTGTCGTCGTCTAAGCGCTGTGTTGCTAGCCAGTTCTTCATTCTTGGAAACAAGTGAATATCACTATGTGAAAGATCGGGACTATAGGGCGGATGAGGGAAACCTCCAATTTGAATGAATTCAGAAGTTCTTGAGTGCAGTTTGAGATGAGGTCAGGCATTGTTATGCAAAAACAGAATTTTGGACGTCAACTTTCCTCGGTGCTTGTTTTGAACTGCTCTTCTAAGGTTGCGCAAAGTTTGACAGTACTGCCCAGAGTTCATTATGGCACTATGTTCAAGAAAATCAATCAGAAACACACCTAGCCTATCCCAAAGTACAGTCATCATAATCTTCTTTGGTGACATGGTTTGCAAACATTTTCTTGGTCTTTTGGGGGAAGTTTGTGTGCCCCCACTGCATGGACTGTAATTTTGTCTCGCAATTCATGTGTCTCACCCACGTCTCGTCACCAGTTATGATTCGATCCAGTAATGAATCGCCATGTCTGTCATAGGCCTCCAGAAATGTCAAAGCTGCCCCCATTCGCTGACCTTTATTTATGTTATGACCTTTATGTGTGTAAGCAATTTCAGCACCCATCTTGCACAAAATTTGTGGTAGCCTAGCTTTTGTGTGACAATTTCAAACAGCAAAGTCCATGAAACTTGTGGAAAACTAAGTGAAAGCTCCGTTATTGTGAAACGGTGGTTTTCACAAATCTTTTCGTCAACTCTAGCGACCAGTTTGTCAGTCACAATGTTAGGGCGTCCACTCTTCTCTTTATCATGAACGTTAGTTCAACCATTTTAAAACTGAATGCACCATTTCCGGATTGAACTTTCATTCATTACGTTGTTTCCATGCACTTCACTCGCATGCCGATAAATTTCCGCGAGTTTTATGTTTTTTGCCAACAAAAACCATATCACAGACCGCACTTCACAACTGGCAGGATTTTCAATTGCAGCGCACATTTTAAATTTGAATATCGAAAAAACAGGCAGTGTGGAAATGTTCCCATTGGGATGGCTGGACGCCGACTGAGATGCCGAGCATGCAGACACCAAAATATACATGATCGGTGCATGCCTAGCGATGTCAGACGGAAACGTTCCTTACTTTCTGCATGGCCCTCATATTTAGTGAACTGTATTATTATTCTAAAATCTTAAGTGCTGTGGATATCCTTTAATTGGTGAATGTTAGCTCTTGAAGTTTTGAGAGGAAAATCTGAAAATTAGCAGCAGTTTAAATTTCATTAAAATTAAAAAACCTAATTACTGATTTGCAAGGGGAAGGAAGAAAAAATTCCTTTCATCACAAATGTATTAAAATATTATCATTTTATTGTAGTTTAAATTTTTTCATGAATTAATTTTCTAATTGATTTAAATAATTTCTGGATAATTTAATTGTAGATCTAGTATAATTAGCCTTATAGCATTAATTTAATAAAAACAACAAAATTAAGGCAAAATCTTTCTCATTGAATGAGAATGGTTCATAAATATTAAGCAATGTTTCCACATTTCTCCGACAGAGAGGCATGCAAATGTCAAAAGTTATTAATTGAACTGTAATTAAGTTATTTATTGAGCTGCTAAATTAATATGTACAGCTAGAGTAGTAACTTTTTTTAATTAGAATATTCGACTATTATGTATTAAAGTAACTCTATGCTACTTACCGTTAAGAAATGCTGAAAATCCAAACTAGGAAACTTAATTATCTTAAGTTTTGCTGGACTTCTGGAATAAGAGTAAACTTCAGGAAAGTTACACTCCTCTTCTACTGTTATACTGTATTAATGTTTGCACTCCTTTGCCTGCCAGTGCCATAATTTCAATGCTAAACAATCCTTTTTTAAAAATTGTATATGTACGGTAATAATGTAAGAAAATATTGTCTAATTAAATAATAATGATTTAAAATAATTGTTTCGAATACATATCCAGAATTTAGTTGGTTTATAAATACAAATTTTAATTAAAAAGCATGTTATAAAATAATAATAATTTAGTTATATAATATAGTTATTTTTTACTGCTTCATTTCTAGTATGCATTCCTTTACCACCTTCTTTAATATAAATTTTTGAATCGTGAAAATATTAGTGCAGACCTCTTATTGTGAAAAATTGAATGTATTTTCAGTAGTTACCATGTGATGCTCTACAAATTTTGTTTTCTTTTCCTGTGATATAACTACTGCCCAGTGCATAAACACATAAGCATGCTGCAGATGGGTAAAAACATACAGTGAAGACTATTATGTTATGACCACCTAGAGTAATGGGCTCACCCAGAAACAAAACCACATTGCATATCTGGCTGATGCTAGAGTATATAAAGCACACGTGCATTGTCTTTCCATATATAGACTACTAAGTGGCATAATGGGAAAGGCAGCTGATTTAATAATTTTGACGATGGTCAAATCATTACGGCTCAGTGCCTGGGAACATCGATTTAGCAGCACATTTGGTGGATTGCTCACATGGCAGCCATTGTGAGTATTTATCAAAAGTTGTAAAGGAATGGTGAAATGACAAGTCGCTGATCAGCAGTTTGTCACCTATGGCACTTTGATTCCAGAGGAGAGTGGAGACTATTATGCATTGTTTGCCATGACTGAATGGCTACAAGAGTAAAATCACCAGCAGCTACAACAGTGGGTATCAACACATAGTATAGCAAACACTGCTGCGTGTGGGCCTATAATGCTCAGATCGCATTCCTATGCAGCTGGTGCTCACATATTTGTACTGATGGCATGTCATCGCTATCAGTGCTTGCAGTGGGCCAAGAAACATAGACATTGCATCATAGAAGAATGGAAGACAGTCACCCTGGTCCAATGAAGCACATTTTCTAGTCAATCACGTTGACAGGAAAGTGAAATTATGCTGATTTCTAATGGAAACACTGGCAGCTGGGTGCACAGTTGGTTAGTTAGAAGACAGTGGGGGGTGCAGTATTATGGTGGGCAATGTTTTTATAAGACACGTTAGGACCCATCATTCCCATAAAATAATCTTTGATTCGTGCTCTGTGTTAACATAATTGCCTTTCATCGCAACAGTGTTCCCGGGAGATGATAGCATTTACCAACAAGCATCATGTTATTAGGGCCGAATCGTCAGGGAGTGGTTCGAGGAACATTGTGGTGATTTTCAAGTAATATCTTGGCCTCCCAATATACCTGACATGAATCAAATCAAAATTTTCGGTTCCACCTGGAAAACTCAATTCATGCTGCCACACTACCACCTCACAATGTGTGGGAATTGTAGAATCAGTTGGCGAGTACCTGGTACCAGATATCTCAGACTACCTTGTCGAGTTAGTGCCTCACCAGGTGTTGATGGTTTTGAGGCAAAAGGTGTTTCTATTTCATATTAAACAGGGGGTCATAATGTGATGAGGCTTCAATGTAGATATGGAGCTGTAGTATTGCTGATGCTAAAGAAATGAGAAAAATTAAATTACGGTAGGGCTATCATGTAATCCTACCACCTGTTTCTAAAAATATAAGTTTTGACAAGTAAAATAGTCAAGAACTTGTTTAAGAATTATTTTATTAATTTTTGGGGTGGGAAGAAAACCGGTTGACTTTGATGGAAGGACATCTGAAAGTGTCTAAATTTTATAAAGTAAAATGTTTTTAATTACTTCAAAATAAATTCTTTGCTGATATGGATAAGTTCTGCTTAAAATAAGAAATTCAAGTAAAGCATGCTAGTTTAAACTTCATTGAATTGTAGTAATCATTTTTTAACTATTGTTAGTGTGAATACATATTTTAATTAGTAATAATCTAAATTTTAATAATTTATAATCAATATTTACACTGAAGTGACAAAAGTCATGGGTTACCTCCTAATATTTTGTCGGTCCTCCTTTGCCCGGCAGTGCAGCAACTCGCCGTGGCATGGATCAACAAGTCGTTGGAAGTCCCCTGCAGGAATATTCAGCCATGCCTCTATAGACGTCCATAATGTGAAAGTGTTGACGGTGCGGGTTTTTGGGCATGGACTGACCTCTCGATGATGTCCCATAAATTTCAATGGGATTCTGCGGGCGATCTATGTGGCCAGATCATTCGCTGAATTGTCCAGAATGTTCTTCTAACCAATTGCAAACAATTGTGGCCGTGACATGGCGCATTGTCGTCCTAAAAATCCCATCGTTGTTTGAGTGTGAAGTCCATGAATGGCTGTAAATGATCTCCAAGTAGCTGAAGGTATACATTTCCAGTCAATGCTCGGTTCAGTTGCTCCAGAGGACCGAGTCCATGCCATGTAAAAACAGCCTCAGACCATTATGGAACACCACCAGCTTGAACAATGCCTTGTTGACAATTTGGGTCCATGGCTTCGTGGGGTCTGCACACTCGAACCCTACCATCAGCTCTTACCAACTGAAATCGGACTCATCTGACCAAGCCACGGTTTTCCATTCGTTTAGGGACCAACCGATATGCTCACAAGCCCACGAGAGTCGCTGCGGCATGTCGTGCTGTCAGTAAAGGCACTCGTGGTCTTCTGCTGGCATAGCCCAAGGAAGACAAATTTCGCTGCACTGTCCTATCGCACACGTCGCTCGTATGTCCCACATTGATTTCTGTGGTTATTTGATGCAGTGTTGCTTGTCTGTGAACATTAACAACTCTACGCAGACGTCGCTGGTCTTGGTCGTTAAGTGCAGGTGGTCGTCCACTGCGCTGTCCATGGTGGGATGTTATGCCTGAAATTAGATACTCTCAGCACACTCTTGACACTGTGGATCTCGGAATGTTGAATTCCCTAACGATATCCGAAATGGAATGATCCATGTGTCTAGCTCCAACTACCATTCCGCGTTCAAAGTCTGTTAATTCTCGTCGTGCGGCCATAATCACGTCAAAGCCTCTTCACATGAATAACTTGGAACACAAATGAAAGCCCTGCCAAAGCACTTCGCATTTATACATTTTCTACGCGATACTACTGCCATTTGTATATTTGCATATTGCTATCCCATGACCTTTTGTCACTTCAGTGTATGGTTATATTAAATGTGTGGTCCTGGATAATATGGAGATTAGAGCTAGCTAAAAGGTTCCAGTTTAAGTTTGAATTCTGTAAGGCATATATAGTTTTGACATTTTTAGAGCCTGTGTCATTGAGTTAGTCTGTTTCATAATCATTCAAAACGCGTTTGTTCCCATAATCCTAACTGGAATATTTATTGCACCCAGTTCTTCCAGGATCTTTCATTCAGATCTGAGATGGAGCATTCATGTGTTTAATCTAAATTAGTAATTCAATTTAATCTTGTCACATAAATATTGTGTTCGAAAATTTTTGCTTGCTTTTTAAAGATGTTTTTGGTGATTGCCAAAATATGTTTTCTAAAAAATATTTATATATTTTAATGCTTCTTAAAACAGAAAATTTGTGAAAGTAATTCATAAGTTTCTAAAATCCTTTTTTTTTTTTTTTTTTTTTTTACCTTTTGTTACAATACATTGTTAAATCCATAACTGCCTTCCTGTAGCAAATCATTGAAAATGCACATTTTTTAATTGAAATTATTTTGTTTATTTTTGTCTCGTGACTTTCATGTTTTTAGCATAAATTTCAAGATTCGTTAATGTTTTCTTTTTCTGTAAATTTGAATTATGTACTTTTTTTAATAGCTACACTGAAGTAGATCCTGTAGTAATTGCTCAAGAAGGTGTAGAAAAATTTAAAAATGAAGGATTTGAAATCATAATTGTAGATACAAGTGGTAGACATAAACAAGAAGATTCATTATTCGAAGAAATGTTACAAGTCTCAAATGCAACGGTAATTCGTGATATCCATTCTTTTTCAAAATGTAGCTGCTTGCAAAAATGTGTGTATTTTTAATTATATTCTATGTAATGACTTTTAATGTAATATATTTTTAGGTAGAAGGTAAAATATTAAATGTGCAGGCTGTTAATTTAAAAAAGAAAAAAAATATTTTCTTTCTGTTTTCTTTCCTTAGAACCCAGACAATATTATCTTCGTAATGGATGCTTCAATTGGTCAAGCTTGTGAAGCCCAGGTAAATATTATTTTTATACTTATACTAGCAGCTTCGCTGCCAGCCTTCGTTTGACTTTTAAATGTACCGGACTGGAAAAATGGCTGCAGGGAACACCAAACGTTAAATTTAAAAACTGTGTAGAATTTTACTCTGCAGAACAACTTCATAAAAAAAGTTATTATGTATAACAAAATTACAATGAAATAAGCAATAGCCCTTAATACAAATATTAATTATCCTAATAAATAAATTAACCAACTTCCCTTTACAAAATCTTAAGAACTCAAATGGTATAAAGGAGATTAAGAACTTTGTTTCTTAAAAAAAATCACTCAAAACTTTTCAATATCTTAAAAACAGTGAAATGAACAATAAATAACATAAAAGAACAATGAAATAAGCTATATCCCTTAATACAAATATTAATTATCCTAATAAAAAATTAACCAACTTTCCGTTGAAGAAAAAAATCATGCAAAACTTTTCAATATCTTACAAACAGTGAAATAAGCAAAAATAACATGAAACAACTCAAAAAACATAAATTCCGCGCAGAATTTTACTCTACAGAACAACTTTATCAAAAAAATCAATAAAATGTATTATATATTATATAAAAAGACATGAAATATGCCAATCTCTTAAAACAGTGACATAAGAAATACGATGAAAAATTGTTGCCAAACCCTTATTTCTAAAAGAATGAAACTATTCAAAATGATGCGATTTCATCAAAAATCTATCAACAACAATAAGACAGGAAAATTGTTTGCCAAAATCACATTTTTAAAGATGTGTGAGAAGTGTACTCGGAAGCTTCATTTAAAAAAACCTTTAAAAATACAAAATATTATCATTTTTCCAAAATTCTTTTTGTAAAAGCCGTCGCAAGGATAAAAGTTTAACGTGTCCAAAAATCAAAATAAAATAAACTTTTTTAGAAAAAATCCCGTTGACAAGGTGTTAAGCTCCATTTGTTAAATAGATTCGTATTTAATCGATTTATTGAAACACGAAATTTAACTAACAACTGCCTAGTAAGCATACGTTCTGATAGTCAGTCATGGTCAGGTGTAACATATGATATTTACATATTGCCATCTGCAGCGATTTTCAGTCACCCAAATTAAACTATGCTTTTGAAAGTTACTTATTTGGTTTGTGTGTTTAACTTTAGGACGTCAATGTATTTTGAATGGGATCCCTCCCTTCCCATTTAAACTTTTGTTCCATGAAGTATATATAAATTAATTTAAACATCTTGTGTATAAAAATTTTTATTTAACTTCTAGTCAAGGATTGTAATAATAACTATTCATTATACAAATTGTAGCTAGGCAGAATCCCTTCAAGTGATAAGAATTTTATTACATCATTTTCATTATAACATCTTCCCCCTTGTTTAGACTGTGAGAGGTTGTTATAATGTACCTGTTCATCAGAAATATTGATTTCCTACAAATTTATAAAATGTCTTGGGGGGGGACTGCAGCTCATTTTGAAAGAATTATAATCTGAAGAATTATGCAGTAAATATTGTTGTAATATTTGTTTATTTTATTGAAGAGAATTTTTTATTGTTATATCAAATGTGAGATAAGGTAGAAGGCAAATATTTAAGCATGTAATTTTTGTTTTATTTTATTAGTACTGAATTAATTTTTTTCCCATTTAAGTTTTATTTATTATTTTTATTATAATTTTATTTATATAATTAATTTCAGTCCCTACGTTAAACTAAAGTAACAAATAAAATATTTAATTTTATCTCATTAATGCTGATTTATTATAGTTTCGTTTTATATACAAATCTGTGTATGAAATTTCTTGGAGGCAACAAAATGTATGGAAAAGAACTGTTGATGCTTTTTCAACATGAGAATTTATTGTTATACATTTCTGATAGATTTCATCATTTCTTGTTAGTCTTGTTCTGGAGGGGGGAGGATAAATGTTTATCCATTCATGTACTAGTTGTTAGTTGTTGCAAACAAGCTAATATATCAGTTTTGATGGGTTTTTCCATTTAATTTTTAAAGCATTTTTTTCAGCTAATGAATGATTTTATAATAATTAGGTATTTTTAAATGTAGTTTGAAAAAATTTTAACTATCCAAGTTTCATCTAGCTTTACTTATCTGTTTCACTCATGTTATTATCTCTCATCTAATAGGCTAGAGCATTTAAAGATAAAGTTGATGTTGGAGCTGTAATAGTAACTAAATTAGATGGTCATGCAAAAGGTGGTGGAGCACTAAGTGCGTAAGTGAATTTTTTTTAATAGAAATTTTAAATTATGCTGTTGTATAAAATTAGCAAAAATATAGCAAGAATGTAAAAACTTTTCAGCTGCTAAAATGTGAGAAACATAACGCTTATTTCTTCGAATTTTATCATCTTGAATATTCTTTTCCAATTTGCGATGAACTTATATAAGATGGAGATCTTCAACCTCTCATGCCTGAGAGCCACATCAGTAAATTCATAAAGGATCCACGGTCTGCACATCTGTCAAATAAGTAACATAGGCCGAAAATTTAAAGAAAGAAAGGTTTACAAGACTACAATTAATTTTATGGGCAGAGATGGAGTTACTGATTTTTATAATATTCAGTATTTTGTGTTTTTTGTTCAAAATAAATAAATAAAATTCAATGCGAGTCATGCGAGTCAAATTAATGTACCTTGTACATTTGCTTTTTTTTTTTTTTTAATTTTGAAAGAGAAGAGGTGATATAATATATAGTATATAATGATGTTGCAAAATTTATTGACAACAAAAAAATTGCATTACTGGCAGGTTAGAAGTCACTTCAGGCTTAGTAAGAGACTTGCCATTATTTTTGCTTTATTAGAGTTTTGGTATCCAGTAAAATCTATATTGTTGTGATTCATAAAGTATCATTCAAATGTTCATCTATCAGAAGTGTTCTTGTTTTTCATTTTATGTTCTTCATTTGACTAAAGAATTATTCACATATCTAGGTACTGCCAAAGATAGAAGATATGAACAGTGCATGTTTACGTATTCCTGGATACTTGTATTTGGAAACATACTTCAAATAAAAATCAATTAATGTAGGATTTTCAAGAAACTTTACTGCAGAGTCACCCTACAAATCTACAAATTCGAATTGAAGTTCAGGTTGAACACTTCTGATGTCTACAGAGAATGACCAGGAAAAATTTTGCATGAAAATTTCATTCTCACAGAAGATGGAAAGTCTGTTTTTGAATTCCACTCTCTGATTTCAAATACACTATTCATAGTTATCTGTGTTGTAGTTTTTTTCAACTGCGTCAATTTTGGAAAGTGGATGGAATTCTTATTTAGCAATTGACCTTCTTGTAGGATTAATTTGTCTTAAAAGCTTTCACAGAGTCATAAAGATTGTGAGCAAATAGGCCTTTCCCCAGTAAGTGGTAGTTCAGATCATTGAGAATACATGTAGTATTGACGAGAAATATGAAGTCTGTTAACCAATTCTCATCATGGAATGCAGAAATGGATTTTCCTTTAGATTTCATGAACTGTGGAATTTCAACCTTAACGGGAAAACAGGCGCTGACACATCTTTCCTTGACTCAACCAAAGTACTTCTGCATGATACACTATGTGGCTATGTCCAGCTTTCAAGTCATTCAAGAACTTTGCTTGTGATTAAGTCCAGTGGAGTGGATAAAAGTAACCATCTTTGTAACAACAGTCATCACATGTTCGAAGTCTGAGATGGACTTCTTTTACAAATGTTTTTGGCAGATAATGCAGTAAAAAGCCATCATATTCCCGCATGCCTGCACATCAGATTTGAGTTGTGTTATTACTTTTCTTTCGTGTCTGATCATAGAAGGAGTACCATCTGGGGTTTTGGTAGATATATTGCTCAAGTCTAACTTGCATTTAGCCAAGGTTTTTGTTGGACTCGAACACAAATCTGATCCCTGTGTTATACTTTTAAGTGTAACAACATCATCTAATTCCTCTACAATTGTGAAATTTCTGTCAACACCATGAATAAAAAGTCTGCTTGTGCAGTATCTGTTGCATCCTTTTGGTTCATCCATTGCACGGTTTAAAAAACAAAATCTTTGCATTTGAATTTTAACTTATTGAATATAGCTGATGCCAGATCCTCCACACATCTTACTACTGTCACACCAGTTAAGCTAATGTTCGAAATAGATTTAGCCTTTGATGGACAAAGCACATCAACAGGACTGTACAGCTTTTAGAAACTGTTCATCAATGAAAGGTTTTTCCATATTTAGCAATTTTTTTTCTGCTACCTTAATGTTGACATGAATACTGTTTTGGGACTCTTTATTTGCTTTGAAGAAAGAAGGGCTGCTGACAGTATAGTTTTGATTTTAATTCACTGACTTTATCATTTCGAAAATATTCTTCTCATGCAGAACATTTCTCTCAATGTTTTGTATCATAATGCCTCTTGATGGTATATTCTTTCATTAACACTACACTCTAGTTGCAAATAAGGCAAACTGCCTTACTTTTATGCTTAACAAAAAATATAGAGATGACCATTTTTATTTACACTTTTTTTCAGCTTCTTTCTTCTTCTTCCTCTTTTTTTTTTTTTTTTTTTAATCATAACTTGCCATTATGCACTCACTCAAAGACCAAAAATGCTTCTAAATTTCAGAATCTGAATCAAATAACCTAGCTTAAATCTACTGTACAAACACTGTTTATTTCCAATCAGTCACCATGTTTACATCCGTGTGTTACTTTACCTCCTGATTGCAATATTGGAAGAGATAGAATTCCATTCATTCCCCCCCCCTCACCTCTACATTTTTGAACAAAGTGACTGGGAAAGTATAATAAAGACCCCTGGAACAGTTTCTTGCATGTTTATTTTAAGCAAGAAGGTCAACACAGTGGGGTACTTAAAATATATTAACCCTCAACAAAACAGATTTGGGTGAGATAAATATCAAACATCTCGCAAACTTCTCTATGGAAAAAGTCAAAGTAAAGCAAAGAATTTGAGACAGTTTCATTTTTAACTTATTAAAAAGACTTCACAGGCCTCTTGCAGGCCATAGGGTGAAGATGTGTTTTGAACGTGAATAAAACGTTCAGTATTTATTTGTTTGCTTTATTAAACAGTTCTTTCAGTGTAAGTTGTTTAATTTGCTTCATTTTTTGTGCTATTACTTCCTCTTTAATTCTATAAATAGATCTAATTTCTTATTCTGTAATAACGTTTCATTGTTCAAGCCCAATAATTTGAAATTTTTTTTTTTTGTTCTCAACAACCTCTCTTTACTATCGGTAAAGATATTTTCTGGATTTCAAACCATAGTACAGATTTCACTGTCTGTTAGTTGACTGTTGATTGGGGCATTGTATTGCAATGAAAAACTTCTGCTCTACCATCATCATTTATTACTACTTTTCTGCATTTCTTAAATTTCATTAATTGGAAAATTTTGCTTGTTGTTTGCGATATTTAAAAACCTTCAAATTTGCAGCTAACATCATAAAGCTTAGCTAGTGTTCACTATATATTTTTGTAATGTATTACAAAATTAGCAGCTAAATGTTGTTGTTCCACTAAATTTTGCTTTTCTTCTATCATGTGCTGGCGAAATTAAGCCTGAAGTATAGGGTCACCATTATGGTGATTTCCTATATGTTTTTACCACCATTCCTCGAATTCCATATCACAGATTATGTTCTTACTGCATTGATATAAATATTAACAAGACATAGCGCACAATAAAAATTAAGTTTTATTTAGGAACATCGCGCATACTACCCAACAGTACGGATCCTCTGAGATAATTTCATAACCTATGTCGTTCCTTTGAATAGCCATTAAAGGAACTGGGGGGGAAACTCTGTGGTGATGGCGATAAGGAAGCGCGCCTTGCGCCCTCCGATAAGTGTGGCAACCCTAGAAGAGAAGTTTCTTACGATGAGTAGCGAGCAGAGCGAAACAGGCTGGCTGTCGGGGAGTATGCGCGAAGTTCCGAAATAAAGCTTAATTTTTATTGTGCGCTATGTCTTGTTAATATTTATATCAATGCAGTAAGAACGTAATCTGTGATATGGAATTCGAGGAATGGTGGTAAAAACATATAGGAAATCACCATATACTTAAACCTATTTTCTAAGCATGCTTAACGATTATTTGAGTTTTTAATAAATAAATTTCCACATATATTTAAGGTTTATCTTAATAACGAATCAGTTACTAGACATTTTGCAGCCTGGTGCATTTTTGGCGGGTCCGAAATTCTGCTGCCAAGCATCTTCCTAAATTCTAAAGATTTTGCTATGTCTTAATTTTTTGCTTGGTGCTTCTGAAAATTCTGCCTTCCCTAAATTCAGCTGCTCCAACTGTGGCACCAGTCTTCGGCTTACCTGAGTAACAAACAGATCAGTTATTCTCAATTCAGGCAGCACTAAATATAATTTTTTGGCCTATGTGTATCATTTTACAAAATCTGTTTTTGGCATATGGAAAGAAATTTTTGATATTTCTCTTTGTCAACATACTCAACATTTCACAACAGAGTTAGCTGAAGAGTGCAATTAATTATAACCAACATAATGTCAACATAAAAGGTTACCATGCTCTCAACTACTATTTTTTTAAAAAAATTTTTAGACATTTCTTAAGCTGCAATGTGTTGATAGTCATTTAGTGACGAAAGCAGAATATAATAAATAATGATTCGTGAGGCTGGTGTCAGTGTGAAAGAAATTAAGAATTGGGACTGTTTCATGATTTCATGATTAAAAACTGTTAAGTGTGCAAGCATAAAGCATAGATTTTTTTTTTTTTTTTTTAAGTTGCTAGTAATGCGAAGGTTTCAATTTTATATCATTTTGGATATTGGATTTTTGGCTGTTTAATACAATATTACTCTATATACCAAATACAAAATTTCACATGTGGGTTTCTATAATAAAGTTATGGTCCGTACAATTGTCTTCGTAGCAGATCTGATGAAGTGCAAAATGTTAGATAGTGGCATAGATTATCTTAGTTAGGAAGTTTTTGAAAAAATGGTTATGAAAGTACTTACTTGAAACTTGATCATCTTTCAAAAGAATCTTTCAAAGATCATCTTTCAAAATAAGGTTTTAATTCATAATAAATAAAGAATTGCATTATTCTAGAATAAGGTACCTTTTGAAATAAAACCACCAAAATGGCAACAAAATGTCAAATCTGACCAGCTTGTATTTGTGACAACCATTCAGCCAATTTCTTCTTTATTGCTGACTTTAAAATTTTTTCATGCTTCACTTACTCATAATGTTAATTTGGGCTTGCATTTGGAAATTGAGTACAGTCAAATACCAAAAATCCGCCAACTCCTGAAATCCGCATTGCCTCTCAGTATATAAACATTCAGTTTATAGGTTCCGGAAGCTGCAACATTGAGTACAAAATATCGAAGAAAAAAATAATTACCAAATAATAATGAGTCAGAATGGAAATACCAAATTATTGATATAAAAAAGTTTTAAAGAAAGATAAAATAAATAAGTTTTTTTTCCCTCTAATCTGTATCGAGGTAAAAAAGCAGACGATTAAGTTCACGATTCACGTCGTTGTATTTTCTGAGCTTTGTTATTTCATTTCACGAGATTGTTTAGTGCTGCATTTTTTTTATCCAGATATTTTGTATATAAATTAAGAATATTTTTAACTTCAGCCTTTTTTAACACAATGACAGATAAGAAACACACTCGTGATTTTACTGCTTGCAACGTTGAAAAACGTAAACATGTTGCATTGATGGTAACTCAAAAAGTGCAAATTCTGCAGAAGATGGAAGCAGGTGCTACTCCTCGATTTATAGCAGAATGGTATGGAATTGAGACACGATTGTGTATGATATACGGAAAAATAAAGAAAAGCTGTTGGAATTTTACAGCAACAGTGATTCTAACACCGGAATACGAAATCGGAAATCTTTGCATGAGGCGAAATGAAAACCTCGATGCTTGGTACATATAATACAATGACTAATATACCAATTTATATATGTAATAAAATTAATGCATATAATAAATTATTCCAATAATGTATATAATATTTAATAAAATATATCTAATACGCCTTATTCATTTTGCACTTTTAGTCCGAATATTATGCTTTATATTTTCTGTCTTGAAATCTGCAAAATCCTAAAATCCGCACAACCTCTGGTCCCAAGCTTTGCGGATTTCTGGAATTCTACTGTATTTTCTTTGAAGCAGAATTTAATATTTTCCTTTGGTTGTCTTAATGTTTGTAATGCAAGCATGCATCCTTATGAGATAAAAATGTTCCATTTCTTCTACCATTAGATGAACAAAATTCATAATAATTTTTGAATAAATATTTGAATAAGTTTTTAGACCTCCAACCCTTTATAAGTTATCTTTGCTGATAAAAGGGAAAAATCCTTGCAGTTTTATATGTTAATCGAAAGGGTATCGTTACATCACATAAGAGAAATATCCTTGAATAATGTATAATAGGGAGAGGACTAATTGCTTCAAAGTACAATTATTCATTTGACAAGAGTAACAAAAATGTGAAATGTTAAAGCATTATCATTGGCAAGTTACCAAATTTATTTGACGCCATCAAATTTTTATCTGGCATGAGACTTATAAAAACACTGGAGAGCCTTTATTATTATTATTTGTTTTACATTTTTAATGTACATTAAAATTATTTACAAATTATGAACTGCAGATTAAGAAACTAACTAAATATGAATTTTAATTTGTATATGTTTGAATATTTAGTTATTGGTTCTTTTATTTGAAATTTTATTGATCTGCTGAAATTTCAAAATATTGCTAACTGCCATTTTTAAAACTGTTCTTATCCTTGAAGTATCAGCTTAGCAAAAAATTTTTATGTCATTTAGAGGTATTCTGTTCTGGGATTACCCACAAAACTAATATAATAATCATAAAACTCATGTTAAACAAGACAGATTGAGATTGCTATGAAATTCATTTTACCTAATTTTCTAGTTTCATTTCATTAAAAATGAAGAATAAAACTGCAGGGAAAGGAGGTGAACATGAGGCATTCATTCCAAGTCTGAATAAAAAGCAGTCAAGTCATCCGTGAAAGCTCTTTTCATTGTTGTTTTTATTTGTCATTTTAACAGTATGTGTTCTGTATAATCACCATGGCATTAATTCTATTTTACACCTGCATTAGTAATATTTTAATAATGAAGTTACTTAACAATTATTGATATGGCAGTAACAATTAGAATATGTATATATATATAGCAGTGTTTGTGTATTTATAAGTTGAAAATCCATTTCCTAGATGATTGTAAATGGCAAAAAAAAAAAATGCCATTGTATTCATATGAAACTTCAAATTGGTTGTTTTATTACATATTATAACTAATCATATGTCAGCTCTGTTTAAGCAAACCATACGTGTCTGAAGTATGTGTTTTATGTTGCAAGTTATTTTCATAATATGTGCATGTTTTTATATTTATGGTGAGTATTATCAGAATTTTACTTAATAGTTTAATATGTTTTTTTCTTTTTGCTACAGTGTGGCTGCAACACAGAGTCCTATTATCTTTATTGGCACAGGAGAACACATAGATGATTTTGAGCCTTTTAAAGTGAAACCATTTGTTAGTAAGCTACTTGGTAAGTGTGTTTAAAGTCTTAATATATTTGAACTAAACTAAATTGTAAATTTGTGACTAAAAAGGAAATGTATTTTCTTGCAAAAACTATAAGAATTGTTTGGGATCTAGTATGCATAAATTACAGAAAAACACAATGGCTACTCAATCTGATGTAATTGAAAAAAATAAATAATAAAAGTAAATCTTTTCATTAACTAATGTTAATACAGTTATTTTCTTTATGCACTATACCACAGGGAATGGGATGATACAAATAGTGAATTTTGTTTTCAAAACATTTTTAATTTTATTTACTTTTGTTTTGGAAAAATGTTATTTTTCTCAGGTTTTAAAATACACATTTTTATGTTTATTTGATAAATTTTATGAGCAGACAACAGTAAAGTTCGTTTTTTGAATATTAAAAATTCAGTTACAATGAAACTCCCAGTTCATAATAAAAATGATAATAAGAAACAGGTATTTAAGTAAATTTTAAATTCCTTGATATTCATTCCTTATAAAGCCGCGATTTCGTACATTATTTTAAATTCTTTTTATTAATTTTTATATTGATAAAAATTTCTTTTGATATATTCCATATAAAATAAAAAATATGTATTTCTTTTGTGATGTTCTATTTATACTTACTTATAAGTAATTATTATAATAAAGATTCTATGTTTTGAATTTACTGTTGAGCTCTATTATAAATTAGTTTAGGAATGTTTCTGTTTAAAAAAATGAATAAAAAATCTTAATGTGTGCACTGCTATTTTATTTTTCTAGGTATGGGAGATATTGAAGGCCTTATTGATAAAGTAAATGAATTAAAATTAGACGATAATGAAGAACTTATTGAAAAACTAAAGCATGGTATGTTATTTTCTTGTTCTTAAAAGTGTGTCTTCATAATTGCTATTTAAAAAAATTGAAAAAATTCCATTTTTTTTTTTTAAATTAATGTTGAATAATTTTTGCATTGTATGAAGGTTGTACTAGAATTATTGGTATGCATTTTTGGGGGGGAGGAAAAAAATTGTTTTTAATATGTAGTAGGGCAACTAGGAGTAGTTGTGACAATTTTTGGAGAAATATTTATATTTTTAAATGCTTTAGAATCGCTAGGTTATTTTAATGCTAGAGACGTGAAAAATTAGCTATGCCTTTGACGGGACTCGAACTTGGACCTGTCGAATACACGGCAAGCATGCTAACCATGGCACCAACAAAGGCATACTAAAAAAAGGGAGAAAATTTACAATTCTTTTATTATTACTGCTATTTTTATTGTGCAGTACAAAGTCCGTAATCCGGACGTCCATTATCCGGAATAAACTATAAACCGGACATCAAAGACAAAAACTTTACGCATGCACTCATTGAAATCATACATTAAGCATGCGCTCATTGAAAGAAAAATTTAATAAAGTAAACAAATAACTATTAAGCTTTTTTTTTTTTTTTTTTTTTTTTTTTTTTTTTTTTTGTAAAATTTGATACTCTTTAGATCATAATTGCTCTTTATTTCATAAATTATGGTTTCATATTTTTAATTGTATAATTTCTGCATGCCATCTTACCACCATTTAAATTGGTGATCTATAATCCGAAAAAATCCCTAATCCGGAATCGCTGAAGTCCCGACGAGTCCGGATTACAGACTTTGTACTGTATAACTATTCATTCATCTTATGCGCAAAATAAATATTCAGCAATTTTGTTGATTTTAACACAAGTATTTTATCAAAACTGTTTATCTGGTGCAATTCACTCTGGACTTAAAATTGTAATAGACCTGGAGCAAATAGTAACAATATATAAAAAATATTTAGTGATTATTATTACTTGGTGTAGTGCTAATGATTGATGCCAAGTGATTTATCGTAAAACAGAAATAAAATCATTTAATTGATCAACATAAAGGTAGTCTTCATAAAAGCTGCATTTAACACAAACAAATGATAGACTGTTTCCTCTCACACATTTAACGTGAACCCACATTTTGCAAATTAAGCATTGCACCCATTCTTCTTCATCAGAATCGCTATAGGTATCTCCTAAAGTTAAGCACAACGACTTTTGTGTTTCTGAATTCAAAATCTTTTCCTATTTCATCTCTATTTTCTTTTGGGATTTTTTACTTTAACCTTTCTCTTTTTGTTATCTTTCTTTTTATTTGTTAGTAATTACTTTTTCATATTCTTTTTCCAGTGCTTTTGTTTTGGGTATGTCGGAATGGCTGATATCCTTTTGCATGAGCATCTGTTAGATTGTTTTTGAGGTGAAGCCTTAAGGAGAGGTCTAATTCTTTGAGGCTGAAAAATCCCCCCCCCCTGCTTGAGGAAAGAAATCTAGGCAGAATAAAGTAATTTTTGTATATGAACAACTCTTTATTCACAGCTGATAATTAATAAGAAAAGAACCTGATTGACCAATAAGCATCTAAAATCTGTGGTTAAGCTTATTTCTAGTAATTTTTCGCCAAGGCTGCTAACTTAACTGAAAAGCCATCAAATGTCAAGCTGTAGTAAGAAATAAATATGATTATAATTTTTTTACTTAAAAACATGCATATTTTTATTTATAGATTGAAGAAAATTTAATAAATAAGAAAGAATAGGTTGTTAATTTTACAGTTAAGTTTTGTTCCAGTTAAAAGGTTTTCTGGGAAAACAAAGTTTTTTTTTTTTTTTAAGTAAGTTATTTAATGATTATTTAAATGCATTAGAATTATTTGAAATAAATGTAAATCTGAAAACTTAACATATAGATATAGTATACAGCTATAGATATAGTATTTGAATTATAAAATGTAACCAGCAAAAAGGCTTTATTATTATTATTTATGTTTGTTTTGGTAAAAAATTGAAACAACTGCACCAATGTGAACCAATAATAACAGTTTTCCCTTGCAAATACCATTAATCTTTGTGACTTATCGTCTCTTGATCCAGAAGCAATTTTCATGCTCGATTTTTAATGCACTGCTGATGTTTTGGAGAATCATCCAAAATGACTGCATGATTTCTCAGTTAGCAAATGATGAAAAGTCTGCTATTGATTTCTTTAAATAAAAAGAAATTATCCTTTGTGTTTTATTTAAATACCTACAACATTGAGTTATGTTTTTGCACCAATGAATTGCAAAATGATGCTGTCAATACAGTCATACCAAAAGGATTGCAAATTTTTTATCTTGCAAAACTCTTAATATTTTTCATATTAATGCATGATTATATTTTCATGCAGTGATGCATCTTTGATGTATCATTAGGATGCCATTACTGTTTCAGGCTGCATTTAGCACCAGCATTTATGTTTGGAGATAACTGCCTTGTTAAGAGAAGAGTATTTGTATTATCAATCTGAATGTTTTGATAAAGTTTTCAGGTTGTCATGATAATCCTCTGTCATAAATATATTTATAATTTATATTTTGCTTTCATTTTTTAGGTGAATTTACATTAAGAGATATGTATGAACAATTTCAGAATATAATGAAAATGGGTCCTTTTAGTCAGATAATGGTAAGTATTTAAAATTTTTCTTACAGTTAAAAAATTATTAGCTATTTATTCATAATTAGAATTATGAATAATTAAAAATTTGTAGTTACTTGCTATGATAGCTTTTTATATCTAGAATGTTTTTTGCAAAAATTACAGTTCTCTGAATTTGTTGTTTTTATATTTTTTTTATTTGAAATTGGTGTGCAGAATATAATAAAAAATATTTCAGATTATAATAAGATTATTAAAAACTTTGAAATGTTGATAAATTATGTATCAAATTTGGAAGTACTCATTTTACCATTGGTTTCAAGCAAAAGTTTGATTGTTTAATCAATTTTGAATAAAAAATGTTTTGAATTTTAAGAGAGACACATATCTCATGATATGGAAGTCAAATGTTCTTTTTAACTTTTAATTTTATCTAATTAATCCTACTGCTAATTTTTCTTTGTATATTCAAGTTATATTATTTTCCATTTCATTTTAGGGTATGATTCCTGGGTTCAGTAGTGATTTTATGACTAAAGGTAATGAACAGGAGTCTATGGCTAGGCTTAAAAAACTTATGACAATCATGGATAGTATGAATGATAGAGGTAATTATTTACCATATTTTTGAAATTATTAATATAATACTTTTACCCTTTCTAGTTTACTGACAAATGTTCTGACTACACAAATTCAGTATTACAAAATATAATACTATATAAATAAATAAAAAGTTAAAAAAAATATATTAAACAACTTTTTTTAATGTTAATTGCAAATTTTATATTGGATTCCGATTTTCGTAATATGCTAGTAGATAAATTTATTTGTGTACGGAAGAGATGTTTACTAAATTGGAAAATGTATAAAATTGAATTAAAAAATATTACTGTATAAAAAAAAAATCGTACAATTTTTAAGGCAACTCTTACAGATTCCTGGAAATAGCTTCTTTTATATATATATATATATATAATAAAACGAACATCTGTGGAATGGCAAATTTTGACTAGTGTGAATTTTAAAGTTGGGAATTTAATTCAATGTTTAAAAGTAAAATTTGCTTAAAGTTTACGCCTTTTTTATTCTCTTTCGACAGAATTAGATCATCGAGAAGGAGCAAAACTCTTCTCAAGACAACCAGGTCGTATAACCAGAGTAGCCAGGGGAGCAGGTGTAGCAACAAGAGATGTACAAGAATTATTATCTCAGTATACAAAATTTGCTGCAATGGTGAAAAAAATGGGAGGAATCAAAGGCTTATTTAAAGGTTAATAATAAGCTACTGTTTATAAACCTATGTTGTTAATTTCATCTTTAATTTAAACCACATATTTTTTAAAGGAAAATCTATATTGGAATAAGAATGCTTCTTTTGGTGCTAAATATTCTTGTCCCACTATGCCATTTGTCCTGTGTTTCTATATCCTAAAAATAAGAAAAGCATTTCATATATCCTGCATTATAACAACTTAGATAATATTATGGAAACCCATGTCTTAAACAAGTATAATAAATATGTTGTTTTAAATTTTTTATTTTCTATTGAGCAGCACAAAAGTTAATTGCTAGGTTCTAGTTCTAATTTTTCTTTTGGTTCTAGTTCTGTGTGTATGTATATGTATATATATATATATATATATATATATATAAACTTAAATCCATTTAGTGCGAATACAAGTTATTATTACTTGCGCAATTGCTGCCAAAGTTAGTTAATAATAATTTATTTCCTAAACAGTATTGATTAATTGATTATATTATCTCCTAAGTTTAATTAAAGTAGAATTATTTAAAAGTGTGCATCCATACTGGTAAGTTATATTTTGAAAGATGTTTGAAGTAATTTGAAAGCAAAATGTTAATAATGTTTTAACGGGGACTGGAGTTAAATCATCACGAAGAATAATATTACAATTGTAAAAGTAAAAATTGAAACATGTAATTATTGTCATTGATCGGAAATTAGTTGACTTTTCAAGGGGAACAAAAACCAACTCCCGTTCAATGATCAATAATTGATAAAAAATACGTAAATATGAAAGTGTTTCGTCTTACTCGAGTTATAAGTTAAAGCCAAACCGGCAATTCTAGTCAGGCCAAATATTTCCGCGAATAGTTGTTACTCAAAGAACTTATTCTCATGAAGCATTTTAGTCAATTCAATTTGGAGTAAAAATCAATTACTGTAGAGAAATCCTGTAAAAACTCGAGTAATCGTCCCCGACACTATCATCTTTATGTATTTGAGTACTATATTATTTGTAGAAATTAAAACATTGGAAATTGTCATTATGAAATCGAAATCAAAGTAAAGTTGAAATAAACATAGAAGATTATAAAAAAGATAAAATAATGCAAACTTTGTAAAAACAAATCAAAGAGAACATAAAAATAATATAAAAATAAAATAGAAAATAATATAAATAAGATCAGTGAATGTACATGAAGATATAAAGGCCAGAAAGGTATTAAGTAACTTACATTCTTTCTAGTGGGGGAGTTGGCAATGTGTTCTCTTCGTGTGTCTGACTCAGAAGTGTAGGGTGTCCGAAAATTTTAGCGGCAGTAGGGGCTTTGAATTATATCAGTCGGTAAGACTTGGGTGAAGAAATTTATGGTAGTGGGTGGGACTTGGAATTCTTGAGGGATGTATTTTGTGGAGTTCTTATCTGAGAGAGACCGTCTGTTAAGATTTTTTTAAAAATACTAGTGAATGGAAATTAATTAATTTCTGGCTAATTGTCGTGTCGCAATGATTAAGAATTTAATAAAGGAAAAAGGCATTTTCGCTGTCCAAGAGCTAGTAGACAGTCTAAAGGCAGGAAATAGGCCCATTTTTTTAGTAACAGTATATGTCTGAAGACAATTAGCTTTTTACAATATATACAATATATACAATTGAAAGATTTGTATATAGTGTAATTATTCAATTGTATATATTGTAAAAAGCTAATTGTCTTCAGACATATACTGTTACTATACTGTTACTAAAAAAATGGGCCTATTTCCTGCCTTTAGACTGTCTACTAGCTCTTGGACAGCGAAAATGCCTTTTTCCTTTATTAAATTCTTAATCATTGCGACACGACAATTAGCCAGAAATTAATTAATTTCCATTCACTAGTATTTTTAAAAAAATCTTAACAGACGGTCTCTCTCAGATAAGAACTCCACAAAATACATCCTCAAGATTTCCAAGTCCCACCCACTACCATAAATTTCTTCACCCAAAGTCTTACCGACTGATATAATTCAAAGCCCCCTACTGCCGCTAAGAATTTTCGGACACCCTACACTTCTGAGTCAGAACACGAAGAGAACACAATTGCCAACTCCCCCACTAGAAAGAATGTAAGTTACTTAATACCTTTCTGGCCTTTATATCTTCATGTACATTCACTGATCTTATTTATATTATTTTCTATTTTATTTTTATATTTTTTTATGTTCTCTTTGATTTGTTTTTACAAAGTTTGCATTATTTATCTTTTTTATAATCTTCTATGTTTATTTCAACTTTACTTTGATTTCGATTTCATAATGACAATTTCCAATGTTTAATTTCTACAAATAATATAAGTACTCAAATACATAAAGATGATAGTGTCGGGGACGATTACTCGAGTTTTACAGGATTTCTCTACAGTAATTGATTTTTACTCCAAATTGAATTGACTAAAATGCTTCATGAGAATAAGTTCTTTGAGTAACAACTATTCGCGGCGAAGGAAATATTTGGCCTGAACTAGAATTGCCGGTTTGGCTTTAACTTATAACTCGAGTAAAGACGAAACACTTTCATATTTACGTATTTTTATCAATTATTGATCATTGAACGGGAGTTGGTTTGTTCCCCTTGAAAAAAGTCAACTAATTTCCGATCAATGACAATAATTACATGTTTCAATTTTTACTTTTACAATTGTAATATTATTCTTCGTGATGATTTAACTCCAGTCCCCGTTAAAACATTATTAACATTTTGCTTTCAATTACTTCAAAACATCTTTCAAAATATAACTTACCAGTATGGATGCACACTTTTAAAATAATTCTACTTTAATTAAACTTAGGAGATAATATAATCAATTAATCAATACTGTTTAGGAAATAATTATTATATATATATATATATATTATATATATATATAGATATATATATATATATATAATGTATTTTATTTTTGGTGGTGATATAGCAAAAAATGTTAACTCTGTACAAATTAAACAAAATTGATCAGCAAATGGCAAAGATGATGGATCCAAGAGTTCTACAACAAATGGGTAAGTAGTCAGTTTTACAAGTTTTTAAAATTTAAATGGTAGATTCAAAAATTCTACTAAAGATGAATAAATTATCTGTTTTTAAGAGTATAAAAATTTAGTATGTAAAATAAATTTGTGACTTGATTGCTTGATGTACAATTCTACTAAAGATGAATAAATTATCTGTTTTTAAGAGTATAAAAATTTAGTATGCAAAATAAATTTGTGACTTGATTGCTTGATGTACTTTGCAAAAGAATTGAGGGCCTTTGAAGCCATTTGAGCAATAATATGTTAGATGAATCCGTTAGTTTTGGTCTCCAAAATTTTTTGTGTGCAGATGCTTCATCAGTAGAGTTTCAAATAAGCATGGTCAATTTTAAAATGCTGTCAGTTAAAAAAATAAAAAGAAGAAACTGTGACATTTTTATGTAAAAAGTTGTCTGACAAGTTTTTTGAGAGCATCAGTCTGACTAAAAGTTTATCCAATTTTAAAGTTCTTAACATTTAAAAAATAATGGATGTAGACTATGATTAAATATAATTTTGTTTCATCAACCTTTTTATAGTGTAATTTGCAGAAAGCCATGTTTCTGTTGGTTCTGGTAAACTACTGAATAAAATTTTTGAATTCCAGTAGTTTCGATAACATCCTCAGACTTGCCAACTCTCCCGATTTAAGCGGGAGACTGCCGATTTTCGACCTCTTTAACGCCAACCCGATTTACAATATATTTCTCCCGACTTTTTCTTATTCTTAAAATTTCTCACAATTTTTATGGAACTTGGCTTAATACTTTGTTATATGAGAGAAAAAAAAAAAACAAAAAAAGTGATTTTGGATGTCTAAAAGCAAATGAATTTTATCTAGATTATATCTAAAACAAAATCCTTGCGAATCAGATGAGAAATTTTTCTGCTATTGTGAGTGAGAGCATATACGTATCCAGAAACGTCCTTCTCCAGTTTCTCCAATGGGCATCGTGCTCCACTGCGTGTCATCTGACATATATCAGCCAATGAGCACAAAGCAAGCTCATGCTGTTATTTGTATGTTCTTTAGTTAATTCGTTCATCTTGTCCTGAGTTATGTGAGTACACGTGCCTTCGGGAAATAGTTTTAGAAATTATCTTTTATTATGTCTGCGAGAAAGGTGAAATACTCGTGTACGTTTCAAAAATCGTACACAGTTGACTTTCCTTCCATTATTTCCTCAAGGAAATGTAATAAATTTGCGATGTGTACCGCCTGTCGTTGCGATTTTTCGATTTCGCATGGTGGAAGGGCAGATGATCTCAAACATGTGCGTACACAAAAACACAAGGGCAACATGAGTTGTTTTGAAAAAAAAAAAAAAACGAAAAATTGAATTTTTCTTCGGAAACAAAGGACCAAAAAGTTATTAATGCAGAATGCCTGTTCTCTGCCTTTTTACTGGAGCACAACCTGCCACTGAATGCATTGGATCATGCTGCAGCTTTATTTAGAAAAATGTTTCCTGATAGTGAAATCGCTAAGAAATACTTAAGTGCAAGAACCAAAAGAGGTGCAATTGTTAAAGAAATGGATTTGAAAAATAAATCTTCAGTTATTGATTGCATTAAAACAGCTCTGTTCTGCCTCTCTACGGATGGAAGCAATAATACCGATTCAAAACTGTATCCAATTGTTGTTTCTTTTTTTAATCCAGTCTTCAGAAATTGAGTGCAGTTTACTTTCTGTTGCCACTTTAGAAGGACATTTGACAGGCTTTAATATACCACAGCTAATTATTAAAACTTTAGAAGAAAATGCAGGTCCCTCTGGATAATTGCTTAGCACTTGGTGCCGATAATATACCAGTATTGGTAGGCTTCAACACTGGTGTTGCAGGCATCTTCAGAAACGGAAAATTCAGATGTGCAGATTATGAGTTGCACCTGTCACCTCTTAAATTTAGCAACTGAAAAACGGAGCAGCTTCTTTACCAATAAATGTGGATCAACACATTGTTGGTATTTTATTATCTTGAAAGGTGTTCTAAAAGGAAGGAAAAATTGAAACAGGTTCCAAAAGCTGCATAATAGCAGTTTACAATTAGAAAACTTGGATGAAGTTATAAAATCAGCTAGGATTGACACACAGTGGAGTTTAATTGGAAAACTGAAAGATGCTGATGGAATTGTGTGAACTGTCTAGAATTATGTTGGCCATCTTGACAGTTCCCCATAGTTAATGCAGAGTGTGAGAGGATTTTCAGTGTTGTTGTGAAAACGAGGACTAAATTTAGATCTAATATTAGTGATGACACATTAGAAAACTTTTATTAGTGAAAGCAGACCTACGTGGCAATTGCTATGAACAAAATTATTAAGTTTCTTTCTTAAAGAAAGCAAAATCTACCACTGTTTATACCATTTGTACGAAAACTAATTAAAGGTGGTTTTTTTTTTTTCCCCTTAAATGATGCAAGTAATAAAAATGTTTTTTTATGTGTAAGGTATTTTTGTGTTGCTTGCATTTAAGAATTAGTTACTATTTAAAGTTAATTCATTATTAAAAACTATATTTTCCTCATTTAAAAAGCCTTTTTAACATTGTGAAAAATCTTCCGATTTCTTAAAAAAATCTCCTGATTTTTGAGTGTCATAGGTTGGCAAGTATGCATCCTATATGTAGAATTCTTTCATAACAGTGGTATTGTTTTCAAAAGGGTTGTGGTAGTAGGAATATCTAATACTTTAATATCATTTTCAGAATCTTGTCTCATAAAGCGTTTTCAGATGTATTTCGAGGGTAGATGAACAATTTTGCTTCTTTAGTATTTTTTAATTATAATGATCTTAGGGAGAGACTGTAGTTTATTTTTAATTGTGCCACAGAAAATTAGCATTATACATAGACTTAACTGATGTCCCTGTTTGATGATGTGGTCCTTGCATCTTAGCCAGTCTGTCACTTTGTCCCGGTTACTAGGTAATATTTTAAAAGTTTGGCATATACAGGAAGTAAAAATAATGCAGCTTCATATAAAACAGTGATTTAGCAAGTAAAATATTCCCTCTGTTCCACTCATTGTTGGCAGTCTAAATATTTCGCATCTATATCTGAGTACTTTTATTTGTTTTCTCTCAAAATGATGACAAGATGTCTTTCTTACACTGAGATATGGAAAAACAGTTTTAGTGGAGCAGAATCTTTTACTTAGATAAACAACAGTGAATTAACATGGTCTGAAATTGAAGATGAAAAAGTTAATGAAACTGTCGCAAATCAACTGTTTGTTGAAAACTTTTTTTTTTTTTTTTTTTTTTTTTGCGGGCTTGGGGAAGGGTCCTGTTAATTTAAAATTTGAAAAATGGATATAACATTTCAAAAAAATTAAAACATTTCATTGCTCAAATAATAGAATAAATTTTCAGCATGCCATTAACATTGGCACCAGTCAAAAAAGTGCTCTCAGTAATGAATATCATATGCTGTAAAGAAAGAGGTAGAACACCCGCCATAAAAGCTTTACAAAGCTACAAAATTAACTGTGAACTGATTCGCAGTGAATTTTCCAATGCCATTAAAAATGAATAATTTTTTAAAGAACATTCTCTCCAGTGATGAATATTAATAAATATTTAACAATAAGTTATATTTCGTTGAGTTATTAAAAATTTCTTTTAACTTTCAGTTGTTTTTTGCTAACAACTACTTTTTTAAATTATAGTTACAGTCAAAAGTTGTTAATCCAGACACGTCGGGACTTCGGCGATTCCGGATTATAGATCATCAGTTTAAATCTGGTAATGCATGCAGAAATTACAAAATTAAAAATATGAAACCGTAATTTATGAAATAAAGAACAATTATGATCTAAAGGGTATCAAAATTTACAAAAAGAAAAAAGCTTAATATTTATTTGTTTACTTTATTAAACATTTCTTTCAATGTAAGTTGCTTCGTTTCATGTGATAATACTTTCTCTTTAATTCTATTAAACAGACATAATTAATTGTTTAGTTACAAAGTTCCGCTGTTCAAGTCCTATAATTGCTGTGTTGAGAATACCGACTAATTTGTCAATTTTTGAAATGTTTTCGTTCAATAACCTGTGGGTCACTTTCTTCACTATCCGAAGCGAATTATAATGACGAGGAACTTGATTTAAATCATATCAAAGACGGAGTACATCAAAATGAAATACTACACTTAGTAAGGAATTATAAGCCAAATAAAATAAAAACATCTGCCCTGGAGATAAGGATAGTGCTGACAGATCAACTTCCAATCCGCTGCATGAAATTGATAAACAGATTTCGAATTTCAAAACATACTTTCGCTTTGTAGATACAAATTACATATTAGTAAATATATATCGGAAATTCTATTTGACATAATCGAAAGTTCAAGCTTACTTTTATGAAATTGCTCTAACAGTCTGCAAAAAATAATAAGCCGGATCCAATTCGAAGATTAAGGAACAACGCAATCTGCAACATTAACTGAATTAAATAATTTTTGCTTAGATTATACCGTTCGTTACACATTAAACGCGCATGCGCAAAAACATATTCGCATCCGTAAAGGTCTTACGCGCACTCGTAAACGCCTGTGCGCATGCGTGGACGTGACGCATGCGCAGAAAGTTTGTAGCTTTGAGGTCCGGATTATAGATCATTCCGGATTATGGGTGTCCGAATTAACGACTTTTGACTGTACTTATCCTTGTAAGTTTTATTCTCTGTTGTAAATATTTTCTCAAAATTGTCCCATTTTCAGCAAAAAATATTATGGTAAGCCTAATTATGCATGAAGTTGATTGAGAAGTAGATTCCTTAATTATATAAGTTTACAATAAAACAATGAAAGTGATACTACTAAAATGAACCATTTTTTTTTTTTTTTTTTTTTTTTTTTTTTAACATTACACATTTATTTTTCACCATTAATGAAGAAAGTGTGAGATGTTCTTTTGAACTAAACTGGCATTACATTTATTTTTCAATGTAAAACATTTGCCTTGCATCCTAAAAAATGAAGAGCTTGTTTTTATATGATGGAAGAATTCTTTTGAATTCCATAGTATTCAGAGAATCTGAAGTAGTGTTGGCAGTATTCCAAGGATTGCCTTTTATTCTCATCCGTATGACAATCATCAGATATTGCTATCATGTCTATAAATTTCAATTGACATGAAATCTTTAGCCTTGCAAAATGCTTTAACTAATCACATATTTACATTGTATAAATTATGAAAGTATTTTTCTTTGTTTAAAATTTGGTTTGTGTATTATCATTATCTTGTTATTTGTTTGTTTATGTATTTGTTTAGTTATTTGTTCTTACATTTAATTTGTTTATATATTTATTTAATTGATGCAATTTGCACAATAATTTTGTTTATTATATAATTTATTTCCTTTCAAATTAGTGACAACATTTGTGACAATGTTGTTTGTAAATGTTTATTCCATATATAATATTGTATTATATTGTAGATCTTTTAAATCTGAATTAGTTCACATAGGACCTACATAAGGATTCCTAGTAAAACTAGAAGTATGGTCAGAAATCCTCCTAATAGGCCTTGAAGTTTCCGAGAATTATTTCGGATATAATTCTGCTAATTGTGCTTTCAAAGTCCTATGAGCAATTTTTCTCAAAGCTTAGTGCTTATCTTCCCACTTAAACAGTCCTTTTAAATATGAGGCTGCATTGCAGCTTACAGTCAGTTGAAGACTTTTCTGCTCAGTGTGCTTTAGACTTGCTGTGCAAGGATTTTAGTGACCTGAAATATTTCTAATTTGTGATTTGAAAGGATTTTGAATAAGGTCTATTCTCCTTCCCTATTAAAGGTTCTCGGCCTTTCTCTTCATCTAGCCAAATTTTTTAAGGAGATCTGTATGAACTCATAGTATGCAATAGTCTGCAACTCGATGGTAATACTCATGGCAGGATAATTTTGTTATTCAAGAAGATAGAGTAATCAAATGATACTAAAATCCTTTCTGCATATGATAGTTACATCTACAAAAAACAAGCTTCAATGATTCTGTACATCAAACACTAGCTGACCGCATGGAACAAGAGACCATACTTGTCAGTCATTCTATGATTTTAAAATTGTAGACTTATTGATAACTTTTATTCATTGTGTAGTTCTTTTATTAACAGAATTAAATCTAGGATCTGATTATCACTTATTTTCCACATATAGGTGGAATAAGTGGCTTGCAGAGTATGATGCGCCAGCTACAAGGAGCAGCTTCAAACAATCTCGGACATGTTATGAGATCTGGCAAGTGACAAAGTTCAAACTCCTAACTATTAAAATTTCTTACTTGTTGCAGTATGTTCATAAGTTCATGAACCTTACTGTAACAAATGGCATACTGTGATGAATGAAGAAAAGAAATATTAAAAAACTGTATAAAGGTAGATGCATGTGAGCCATTCCTACCATATGTATATTTAAATTTTTGTACACAATTTTATGGACTCTAAAAAAGAAAATCATTGTACATGATAATCAAAATGTATCGTGGCATTCTTTTTTCACATGATGAAGTGTAAATATGCCAAAAGAGCCATTTGTCAAGAGATTGGATTATTAAAATGATTGATTTTAAGAATGAAATATTCTTAATGCAGTTCTGTCTTTTATAAAATGAACAAACAATATTTTCTAATTATAAATAAGACTTTCTTATTATAGATTATAACAGATAATATAATATCATTCTTTTTCTTTCCTTCTCAAACTTTATTTCCTATTTAGGTGTTTAATTTTTTTTTAAGATCTTTTAGGGAAATTTTTAATTTTCAGAAGATATTTTCAAACCAGTTTTATTAATAAGATTTGAGAATTTATCTTATTCCCATTGCTTTTCAGGTATATTGCTCTTTGTCAAACTATTAAAAATGGAAAATGTAGAGTTATATTGACTTTTTAAAAGACAGTATTATTTATTATTCTTGCTAATTTCATGTAAATTAAGTGCCATGTTTTGATTATGTGAAAGAAAGATCAATTTGCAAAGATTGTTGTGACGTGATAATCATTGTAGGGTAACTGTGTGAGAAGCTTGTATCAGATTAGTTTAATTTTGTCTTTTTGTTATAAATTATTATTTTTTGTCTTTAATTCGTAAATTTAAAAAAAAATCTAAATGTTTGTATGTTGTTTTAAGTTTGGAAAAAGTAAGTGAATATTCTTGATTAAAATTTTTTCATAGCTCATACTCTAAAAAATATCACAATTTTGATGCATCGTACAGAAGACAATAATTCCATTTCATGGGCCTTAAATAAAGATATATTTTTAACTTAAAATTCTTTAGCTTTTTTCATATTAACTGCACCAATAATTTTCTTTGACACATGCACACAAAAAAGAAATCCAATCTGAAAATTTCGGATTACAGTCTAACACTTCAAAAAAGGTTTTCCCATTAAACATTTCAAAATATTTTTTAAAATGTAATGAAAATTTAAAGAGTAAATTATTTTATTCAAGGAAACATCTTTTGTTAATTGCAGCAAAATTATCTGTTGGATATATCAAAAATTAAATGTATTTTAATTTATATCAGGTAAATACATTATAAAAAAGTAAAAGTTTTGAGTAATTAATAGTTCCATTTATTGGTTTTAAATCACTTTTTTTTTTTTTTTTGGGGGGGGGGATAAAGGTGTTTTGTTTTGAAAAATGGCAAGAAGTTGCATTTACATTACTGTAATCAATTACAGATTAACTAAAGATTTTTTGCCTTACCAAGTGGCAATGTTCTGCGAATCTGCTATGCTCGAACATGGAAGATAAAGTAAGGGTTTAATACATACTTCATGAAGTAGCGACATTTGTGAAAGGGCTGTTGCTAAATTCTTTTTGTTGTTCTTGTCTGTCAATTTCTGAGGTATGATCATGTCTATGAATTTATTTTGCCGAGACAAAACTTCCTATGTTAAATTACTACATTGCACCTTTTTTTTTAAGACACACACAAAGAAAAGTTTTTTTTACCGAAATCAATTTATGAATTGTCTTGGTGTGATGGAGGGGTTGCAACAAATGCTTCGCTTCTTTGGCATATGGCTAATGGGCCCAGAATTCATCAACAACATTTTCTTGCAGTGTCTGTATGTTGTGATTAAAATAATTTGCCTTCGTGGTCACTAGAAGCATCATTTATATGAAGGTCCATTTGAGTGGAACAAGGACTCATGATGGCAATGCTAAGTTTGACTGCTTTGTGTATTTCTGTATATGTTGCTTAGATGTCCACCATTGGACTGGTACTCCAAATCTTTAAGGAGTAGCTAAGAGTTACGTAGCTCAACAGCCAGTCTGATGTAACACAGTGTGGAGGAATCACTTAGGAAAGAAATTTCCATCTTGAAAATTGAATATAAATTTTTCAAAAGCTTGAATTGAGGTATTTAAATTTGTTGTAATTTGTAAATTTAACCCTGTTGTGGAATAATGTATGAAATGAAGCATTTGTTAATATTTTTCATATTTAAGTCAGCATAAAAAATAGAAAGAAACTGCATAGATTTTAAAATTCATACACTTAATCAAAAACATTAAAACGTGTTTGTTTTACTTGGATGACGTATATCCATGTAGAAGAAAATCCATGCTTTTTTATCTAAAGCCACCTCAAGGGTACCACTTAATATGATGTGTCATTGCTTCCAATCTTGGGAATCTATAACCTATTAATAGAAAATGATACTTCATAATCTTCAGTTTTGTTCGTTGCTGTGTCACAAAAAAGTGAAGAAGTTTTTCTGCCTCATTGTATCTTTAAATAGCACGAAGTTATATTGTTAAAAAAAAAAAAAAAAAAAAGTCTTATATGGAATAATATATTCTGTTGCTTTGTATAACCAATGCCATCCATTCCATGAATGCATTTGTTATAAAAGACTGTTTTCCACAGATAAGAAAGTTGTCTGCATACATAGAAAATTGTAGATGAAGAAGCTGAAACTGCAAAATGTTATTATTTAAAAGATAATTTCTGTTCCTTAAAAGTATCAGATAACTGCTGCTTTCTAGGGGTTTTTCCTCCCATTCCCATAACATTAATGGTGACTACTTGAGAATCACTGAGCTTTTGTTCCATTGAAAAATATATTCAATGTGGTTTGTTTCTGTCTATTTTTTTAAAAATACTCATAAAGCAAATGCAGTGGCTTACCACTGCTTTATCAGGAACTGAATGTTCTATGAACCTTTGCACCTTACCCCATTTCACACAAATTTCGCAGATCGAATAAAAATTAAATTGCTTGTTAATATCTTTCCCACCTCTTCTTCATCTGAAGTCATTCCCTCCACTGCATTAACTATATTTTGTAGTATCGTCTATTACCGTTGTTGTGGTAATATTAATTTGATAGTTTTAGTAGCAGCTGACAGAGGATGAGAGCATCTGGTAATTAACATTGGCAAACATTTGTCTGTCGTACTCCCACCACAATATGTAGAGACAACACTTTCAAAGGCCATGAGATGTGTCATTAAGAGTTCATTTTAAATATTTTTTGGTTACGTTGTGAAACAAGGGCTGTTAATTCAAGTCATTTTGGTTGTTTAGGAGTACATTTTGATACTAACATTATATTTGAATGGAAGTTATATATTCACCAACACTTATAGGTACTACGCAAAATACATATAAACATATAAATGACATTTAGGTGCATAAAATGTGCAATTATTAAAACATTTACAATAGATAAAACACTTATACACATATCAACCATATACAGTCAAAAGTCGTTAATTCGGACACCCATAATCCGGAATGATCTATAATCCGGACCTCAAAGCTACAAACTTTCTGCGCATTCACGCATGCGCACAGGCGTTTACGATAGCACGTAAGACCTTTTACGGCTGCTAATATGTTTGTGCGCATGCGCATTTAATGTGTAACGGAGGTATAAGCTGAGCTAAAATTATTTAATTCAGTTAATGTTGCAGATTGCGTTGTTCCTTAATCTTCGAATTGGATCCGGCTTATTATTTTTTGCAGACTGTTAGAGCAATTTCATAAAAGTAAGCTTGAACTTTCGATTATGTCAAGTAGAATTTCCGATATATATTTACTAATGTGTCATTTGTATCTACAAAGCGAAAGTATGTTTTGAAATCCGAAATCTGTTTATCAATTTCACGCCGAGAATTGGAAGTTAATCTGTCAGCACTATCCTTATCTTCAGGGCAGATGTTTTTATTTTATTTGGCTTATAATTCCTTACTAAGTGTAGTATTTTATCTCGATGTACTCTGTCTTTGATATGATTTAAATCAAGTTCCTCATGATTATAATTTGCTTCCGATAGTGAAGAAAGTGACCCAGAGGTTATTGAAAACGAAAACATTTCGATTGACAAGTAAGTCGGTATTCTCGGCACAGCAATTACGGGACTTGAACAGCGGAACTTGTAACCGAACAAGAAATTATGTCTGTTTATAGAATTAAAGAGAAAGTATTATCACAGAAAACGAAACAACTTACATTAAAAGAAATGTTTAATAAAGTAAACAAATAAATATTAAGGGGTTTTTTTTTTTTTTTTTTTTTTTTTTTTGTAAATTTTGATACCCTTTAGATCATAATTGTTCTTTATTTCATAAATTACAGTTTCATATTTTAAATTTTATAATTTCTGCAGGCCATCTTACCAGATTTAAACTGATGATCTATAATCCGGAAAAATCGATAATCCGGAATCGCCGAAGTCCCGACGAGTCCGGATTAACGACTTTTGACTGTATAAGCAATTATAATTACATCACATGTACACATTTAATACTTACTAAGATTAAAATGCAGTTAAAAGTTTGCAGTTTGGTACAATTTATATGGCATGGTGCAGACACAAAGACTTAATATAGTAGAGTCCTGTAAACTCGATAACCCGGTAGTCCTAATAACTCGGCCACGCCCTGGCAGGTCAAAAAATGCTCAAGGTTATTGCCCGCATGCGTCTCATTCCTGTGCTTCTTTGTCTCGTGTCACACTCCCACTTTTCCACCACGTGACTGGTGCTGGTGCACATACATTCAGCTGTTCAATCTACCTGCAGCCTTTGCCAGGGTTAGTCGATTTCTTAGCTGCATAGCAAAATTAGATTTTAGTGACTGTACTGTATTGTTCAGAGCTGTTTCAAAATTTGCGGGTGCTGGACAGTACTTTGTAGTGGCATCTTCTGTTAAAGAAAACAAGTGAATTTGTCTATGGAATAAAAGTTGAGGGCATTAAAAAACTGGATAAGGGAGAAAGTGTCAGTGCTGTGGCTAAGGACTTGGAAGTCGGAAAAAGTATGTTTGGAGACAGGAAAAAGAAGCAAATAGAAATTGAATCATGTTGTGTTAAGAGAAAGTGTACAGAAACATTGAAAGGAAGGAAAAATATGAAGGAAAGTGAATTTAATGAGGTAAATGAAGCGCTTTACATTTGGTTTCGCCAAACAAGAGAGAAGGTCATGCCAATTAGTGGGCCAATCTCGCAAGAGAAGGCTTGAAATTTTATGAAGAATTAAAAAAGACACCGATCCTAAATTTGTCGCAAGCGCTGGTTGGCTTGATCGCTGGAAGAAACGATATGGAGTGCGACAGCTTAGT